GTATCTATAAAATAAGTATAATGAGTAAACGACACGTTAGTCTAAATGAAAAGATTTCCGAAAATTTTGACTAGAAAGGAAATGACGTCATTTAAGATGAAACAGTTCCTGTTATCAAAGTGAAGAAATTTGTCAGTTAAAGGTAAGATGGAGTTCCCGGTCATAACCTCCGAGTACGAGACAAAACGAGTTTCTTTCGCGCTTACGTACGAAACAATAGTTGACTTAAAGTTACTATAAGACACTTGGTAAGAATTCTTTTACATAGAATATATAGAGTTACGATTAAATGAAAAATTCGGACATTTAAGTATCGTAAAATCATTGTAATAATTGTTTTTAAAAATAACTGAAATTTTCATTCTATTTCGTGGATTGTCTCGCTTACTATAATCGTTATTCATTATTTAATTAGTATTAATTTTCTTAAATCTTCATTATATTTCATTTTATTTATAACCCTAGAACCGAAATAATCCATAAATATAATTAATATTAAAAATGTCTTAAGCTTTTATTATTTTTCTTTCGTGACATTAAAACAATCAACGTACAAGATAAGCTATTGCTTAGCAAAACTTATAGAATACTGGAATCCAGAATAGTAATCAGATAAAATATTGACTGCTTTGTAAAATTCTATTATTATTATATTAATTTTTGTTATTTGTAGTAGTATATCCTGTTAACAAATAGGAAGAAATTATCACATATCCTGCTACTAAAAGGCTACCAAATTCTAAGTATTTTACAAAATTTATAAAAGCCTAACTTTAAAAATTACTTTTTCTTATTAACTTTATAAGTTTATATTATATATACACAAGTATATATAATATACTTGTGTATATATAATATAAATATCGATTACTGTACGAGATATACAATAATCGATATATGTCGTTTATGTGAAGTGAAAGAATTTTGTCAAACAACGTGCAGTTTGAACGTATATCGATGGATCGAAGTATTAGTTTCTTTGTATTACAATGCTAAATATTGTTTTTCGGTTATTTATTTATCTGTTATATTTATATTATTCTTCCCATTAAAACTGTACATTTTAATAGAACTATTTTCGTTCTCAAATAGGTAAATCTTAAAATGAAAATGAATCTTTCTTAACATATTTCATTATACCGTGTAAAATGTAAAATATTTCGTATAAAGTAGACTTAATATAAACTTATAAGAAATCTAATTTATTATTAGTAAAAAGTAACTAAAAATATGTTGTTTGGCTATAAATATGGAGTTATAAATAACTTATATGCTAAATCATATATGTACTAACAGAGCACACACACACACACACACACACACACACATATAAGAAAGAAAGAATATAAAAATTTATACAAGATTTTATTATAATCGCCCGCATTAAGAATTCTTCAACGATAAGAAGAAATTGGGAGTGGCGCGTAGTTTGCTCTTATCGTAAATTGATCGATGTCAAATACCGTCTTATCTTCAATGTCGTTTTCCTATGATATACGAAACAATATAAATAGTAAATTTTGTAATATTGAATAGGGTTATATAGCGTGCAACTCCGTTAAACGCTAATTGACAATGTAAACATTCATTTATTTGACAAAAATTAATCTAATTTGTAAAATAAATCATCGTAGTACGTTTTTATTGCGTGGACTTACGTTGAGTAAAATGAACTACAATTGCAGTTACACTCAAAGAAAAAATAATATCCTTACATTAATTTGAATAAAAAATGCGTTAATATGAATGGATACACAAATTATTTCATCAAACGTGGAAAAAATTTTAAGTTTATCTTCAGGTCTCCTTTATATCTGACAGCGAGGAGATGGCATTCGAATATTATTTCAATGGATTTAATAGTACAGCGCTTCGCAGATTTAGAAAATATCGATATGGTAGAATAGATTATGATGCCATTTTCTGCTCAAATCGAAAACGTCCACATCAACTTGCAAGATGAACTTATTGAATTATTGGCTGTCCTTGAAGAAAAATCGCTTTTTTAAAATTTAAATTTCAGCAATTTCTGGACGAATATAAACGTAACACAAAAATATACAAAACTTTTGTATATGGTAAATCCTTTCTCGCTGGCATTTCCAAGTTCGTATATGGTTGAAGCTAGTTTCAGTCATGATAATTCTATCTTAACCAAACAGAGAAATAACTCGAATGTGGAAATTTCGGGTGATTTAAACCTAAAACTTAGAAATTTTGAACCAAATATTGCTAATCTTGCTAAGGCCTCAAGCTCATCAGTCTCACTGATTGTTAATTACAAACATTATTATTAACATATATCTGCTAGTAAATAAATAAATAAATGCCGTTCATTTTTTTCTCAATTAGTATTTAATTTACTGGAAAGCGTCAATTATTTCTATAAAGTTCCCGTAATTCTTACAATGATGCGTTTTCTTTCTAGAAGTTTTATCTAAAATGTATAATTTTTCTCCGATTTCGCGAATTCTCTCGTTTAAAGATTACAAATTATGCGTCGTTTCAAAAATTTTATCTTTAAATTTAAAAAATTTTGCACTATTGTATAAAATTCTATCGGTATTTTTCTCAATCTTGTTAATAAATGTCAAGGATTGCAATTAAATAATTTAATTTCTTTGAACATTTGGGATCTCACGATAAATTTATCAGTTAATTGCTTTGACGATAAAAGTCAAAGCAATAAACTCGAACAATTTCCCAAGTAAAATCTGGATCGGTTTCTAAGAAATTTTCGTGGGTGGTTGACCCGAATATGCCGTGTTCCATCCAAGGGCGTCTGCAAACAGGGGGCAGAAGGACAATTTCCCCTGTTGAGATTTTCTTATTCTTTCGTTTTTTCTTTGTTTTTCTCGAATAACAATTTCGTAAAGCCATAGTATTTTTATACCAGGAAGATTTGTTTTAATTAATGGTCGTTACGCAGCAGCGCGAAGAGATGGCTCCTTTAAACTGTATGCGGGTAGTGTACTCTTTGGAAAATCACGTTTTATAGTGTAGTTTGAGTTTTCACTTTTTTGCCTGCTTATTATCGTGAAGATAGAGGAAGAAATATAATTAGAAACAAATCGATTCAAAGAACATACTAAATCTATTGGTTAATTGATCCAAATCGTACGTTTTGTTCCTCTGAAACAAATCTTGCGATCATCCTTGCAAAATTTCTTTCAGACCGATTAATTAACTACTGTTAATCAGATATTAATATTCCTATATTTAAATATATTGACATTTATATTTATGATTCTTTAACTTTTGTATATATTTTTACTAGGTAGGCTGTGCTAAAATTTGCTATTATAAAGTGCAAGATTCATTCATCGATATCCGTAGACCTACAACATACATTCATTTTATTATATATTATATACGAATATCTTTGAATATAATTTGCAATTGTATAGAAATTTTATTTTTGTGAAATGTATTATTCTGTTATTTTTTCAGAAATTTATAATTCAGAGTTGGACAGAATAATTCGGGGTGTCCCAAAAGTCTTCATATGCAGGACGCAAATCTTTATTTGCTGTTTAATGCAGACATTTTAAATATATGCTAATGATATCCGAATAATTTGGATATCATTTGTATATATTATTTAGTATTTAGTGTACGGGAGGCTACCAAATACGTCGGTACACACGAAAGTCTACGAAGTTCACTCGCATCCCGCATCCAGAAAAGGGAGCTTTGCTAATCTAAAGGATGTTTTGTGAATAAAGTTACATTATGCTAAAATGTGTTACTTTCCCGTACGCATAGAGACTTTTAAGACCCCCGTTAAATTAAAATAATATGAAATCATCACATCGACTTAGCATTCATTTAATATTTCTTTATAATACAGTGAGTACTGTATTATAAAGAAATATTAAATGAATGCTAAGTCGATGTGATGATTTCATATTATTCTCACTCTCTGTAATATTCTTTAAAAATTTAAATAAAATTTTTTAAAATGTATTTTATGCTATAATCATTATATCAATATATTATTAAGATAAACTACTATATTGAAATATACTATTATTTTCAATAAAGGAAACATCGAAAGAAGTAAATTTGAAATCTTTGGGTGAAAAATTGAAATATTTGAATTCTACAAAACTATGAAAGATAATAAATATCAAGTTTATTATCTTCACCATTTTATTATAGGATTTATTTTCGTCTTGACGTCATTCCAAGTAATTTTTTCAACCGTAAGTTTAAATTTAATTATTTTATAAAAATACGATAAGTTTAATAATCAAATTAATTTAAGTATTAAATTAGCGATAAGAAATGCCGATAAAATACCGATTTCGTCGATGTTAAGATAATTGTTAATACCGCTTCGTTATTATATATCTTTCTAAAGCCGTAATTAACTCCTCCTTAAAATATTTATTTCACAACATCCTTGCAATCCTTTTAATGAAACTATTTAATAAGTTAATAAGATTTTATCTACATGTAATACAATGTATTTAAAAGAGAGATGTTTGAAATATTAGTGAAATGTTTTGTAATTTACATGGAAAAGTGTAGGGTGTTTTAAAAAAATGGAGGTTCGTAGTCACTTCGCAGGGGTAATAAGATCACATTTTTTAAAAGTACACGATTGGGTGGTGACTTCTTGTACGTGATGGAAGACCGTGCAGAGGAAACTACCACTATAAATTCGGCATAACAAGTCATTCCGTATTAGTGTTAACATTTTTTGAAGCCTTATATCCCTTTTAAAAAATCTTCCCAAAATGTATTACATACATTTTGGGAAGATATTTTTCTTGTCTTTTAAATGAAATTGTTTTTAATCACTGAACAAGTAAGCAGAAAATGAAGATCCCTTTCATCTAATACAGGCACTGATCTTCTTTTCTAGAATTCTATAACTACAACGAATTACTAAATAAAACGAATCTTTTTATTTAGTAATAAGGGAATTCTGTATTAATCAAATAATTGTTTAAAATTCTTAAACAAATAAGCAGGACCGCATTAATGCGTGGATATACTTGGCTATGGCCGTGTCTTTGCCTTTTTAGTGCTTGTTACTAATTAGTTATAGTACTTTTATTTTATATCTATACAGTATTTGTATAATGCATCTAAAAAAATTAGGTTAGAAGTCTCAAAAGTGCTTGAAATAGTTCTACAAATATGCTTATATACGGTAAATTATAGTAAAATTGATATAAATGTGATAAATTTCCACTTACGTTACTATTTTATCCCCATTTCTAATTAGAAGGATGCACGTTTCGTAATGTCCATGTAATTGATAAGAGAACATAATGGTTCTGACGTGCTGGTATCTTATTATAATACCTAATCACCTAACTTATTAACTGTGTTGGTACAGTACATATGTCTCTGCATAGTCTATTCTTTCATTTTATAAATTTAATTTAATTTATATCATTCGTTCGTATCAGATTATATCGCAAAACTTTCATTTGTATCTCAATAGTAATCGCGCAACATTCTCCAAAAACGACAGCAGGCACGTGTCCTCTCTGAACCTTACATTTAGGATATCAAGTTAAACTATTATAATTGTATAAATATGCTATAATATAATGTTGCGTGTTATTAATATATTATATTATAAAATAAATATGTTTTCAGATAACGTTGATATTATTACAGACTACAAATTCATTATCAATCGAAAGAACAGCGACGGAACAAATAAGTATTATAGTTAAATTCTTCTTAGGAAATAATTTAAAATTCTTTTTAAATCGATAAATCTAATAATAATATATTGGTTTCTTATAAGAATTTGTTCTCTAATCTTTCTATTCTAGTATTTACAAGAGATAAAAACACTTGTAATGTCTTGTATGCTTTAGAACACTCGTAATGTCTGAATTGAATTAAAATATTTGACCTTTAAATTTTAAGTTATATTTTTGAGAATTATAGTTACTTTTTTTAATGACGACGTCTTTTTTCAATAATTATTACTCTTGTAGATTGCATTAAATCAAAAAATATTCCGTTTAAAGGAACAATAAATGTAACAAAAACTGGAGAAGTGTGCTTATATTGGAATGACCAACGTATCGCTAATGTCGTCCGCAATTCGTTTCCTAATCGTTACGAGGCGAGTAAAATTAATATTAATCTTGTTTACATTGATAACTTATTAAATTTCTATCTTATTAAATTCTCCTCACTTTATAGAAATTTTGATATTTTTTCATCGAAAAAAGCTATTTTAATATAAAACAGAAATTTATTAAAATATTCTTAATTTTTGGCAGACACTTTTTGGGCATAATTTTTGTAGAAATCCAGATAACGACGAACTACCGTGGTGTTTTGTATCTAAGCGAAAGTTTGAATATTGTGACATTCCGAATTGTAAAGGTAATTATTACAGTACAGTACATCCGAGATTCGCTTAATCAGAATCATTTTAGTTTGTTCTTCCGCTAACTATTTCACTCAAAAATAAAAAATAACTATAGATTATTCATTAACAACAAATCAAATTTTAAAAAATTAATATGTACAGTACATTTTACATAAATAGTGTTGTAAATTTCTAACCTTCCTTGTAGCTTTTTTCGCTTCTTTTTCTATATATAGCATCGCTAATTCGAACTTTTCACTAATCCTAACAATTCTGTATAATAAGTACCCGTAGTTCGGATTAACGAGAGTGCACCGCATTTATTTCATTTTTATTTTACAGAAAATAAAGAAGTTTCGAGCTGCCCTCAGAACCTTTTTCAATGTCAAATAAATGAGTAAGAACCGAATTAATTTCAATTTGTATCTATTTGATTTGTCAAATAACTCAAAATGATTTTGCATTTCTCGACGTTTTAAGATCCCTGCTTCCAAAAACATCAAAAAAAAAAAGGAACAAAATAGTGTGTACACGTTGGCCTTTATTTTGCTTTATATCTCAGAACCCTATGGACCAAAATTTTTGAAATTTGGCGTGAATACTTCTATATATAAGGCATTGGTGCTATTACATTTTGAAGAATGAGTAGAGGAAAGAATATAGAGGGGTAGAGGGTCATATCTCAACTGGGATCAGATTTAAAAGTTTACTCGTTATTAGAATTTACAATTTTTTAAACTTAATCCATATTATTCTGGTAACATCTGCAATTAAGAATGATAGAAGTGTAACTTCAAGTTATTTCTACAATTAAATAAATATCTTAAAATATAGATTATTGTCTTTTTTTATTTTTAACAATTATTAATTTTTTAAAGATGTATTCGTTCTGAGTGGGTCTGCGATAAAACCATCGATTGTACTAATGGAAAGGATGAAGAAACCTGTGGTAACTTATCACTTTATAAATCAATTAAATTAAATTATAAAATTACATTAAATTAAATGTTATTGCTTATATAGTCAATTTAAACTTTATTATAACTTTTCAAACTTTAACGGTAAGGGTTGCTAACAATTTTTTAAATTTATTTTTTATTTAATTCAAATTTAGAATTTTTTTCAATTCTTTTTTACTATTATGGTTATTTAGAGTGCAAAGATGATCAGTTTCAGTGTTCTAATGGCAAATGCATTCGTAATATATTTCTGTGTGACAAACAAAACGATTGTATGGATAACAGCGATGAAGCAGAAGACAGATGTAACGGTAAATTCTTCATTAAATTTAAAAATATTCTTAGCAGAATACAAATAAAAGAGGAAATGTATACTTAAATAATTCTCATTCTTAGATAGCTTGAAAATACGTCTCGTCAATGGACCTAATAAATACTCTGGTCGTGTTGAAATTAAGAGGTTCGGCGTTTGGGGAACGATTTGCGACGATCTGTTTGATGACGAAGATGCAAAAGTCATATGTAGATCATTAGGTTATTCGTGAGTACAAACGCAAATACCGAAATTTTGAGAAATTAACACGTGTAGACCTCACGCTTCTTGTTTTCAATTGTGATATGAAATAGAAATGATCGGGTTGACTTTTCTGTTTAGAGGTCCAGCTAAAGCTCATCTAGGAAGAACTTTTGGAGTTGGCACTGGACAAATATGGTTAGATGAACTCGAATGTCAAGGATCGGAGAAGAGTTTACAAGATTGCCCAAGCGCTTTATGGGGACAAAATAATTGTAATCATGAAGAAGATGCCGGAGTTACGTGTTCTGAGACTTCCCTTTTTAAGAAAAAAGGCGAGTTTATTCAAAAATCTTATTTATAATAGATATCGAAATATTTGGTAATAATCGAATCGTAATTTTTAAAATATGTAGTCAATTTCATTTTAGAAGATAATTATTGCGGTATAGCTACGACGTTCAACGTTACTACTACCGATTTCTCTGCTGGAAGTGATAAAAAGCGGTCCGTAACGATACAAACACACGAAAGAATAATAGGCGGTTGGGTTGCTCCTTACGGTACTTATCCGTGGCAAGTAGATTTAAGAATACGAACCACTGGTAAAAAAAGTATTCATTGGTGCGGAGGAACCATTCTCTCGGAATTCTTCATCATATCAGTTGCTCATTGTTTCAGGTAAAGTTTTGAAAAATGTTGATAAAATTATTTATTAAAATTTAGTACAATTAAAATTAAATGCGTATTAGTAATAAATAGAATATCGTAGGGAAAGAATAATTTTCTTTATTTCCTATTGCGTTAGTTATGGGGTTCAAAATATATGGTGCAAAAATAAAGCTGATTTATTCATACCTGAAATAACATACGGCAACAGTAATGACACGAAAAAACAGAAGAACTCACCCAGTTTCACGTACACATTACTACAAATGTTCGATGTGGGCGCCTTTGGTGACTCGGCAGTTATCAAAGACGGTCCAGTTCTGTCCAAATACACTCCAGCATATTCTCCGATATCAATACCACTCCTTCGGAGAGGCTTTGTTTCGGGTCGTTCGGATGCTGTGGCATTGGAGACAGACACCGTTATCGGCTCCCAATGCCACAGCACTCGAAACGACTGTCGAGTCATCAAAGGCGCCCACATCGAACATTTGCAGTAGTGTGTACGTGAAACTTGGTGAGACTTTTCATACGTTAAGACAGAACTTCTGTATTAACAACGGTAATGACACGAAATTTCAGGTATGAATAAATCAGCTTTATTTTAATTTATACTTTAACTACGATTAACTATACTTTAACTAGTTACCGTATATTCATTTTTAATAGTAAAAATAATAGTAACTAATTACTGTATATTCATTTTTAGTTTATTTTTAATAGTAAAAATAATATTTTATAGATTTATCTAGAGTTTAAATTTTATTAATTCTTTTTAGAAATTTTGCACCTTCTCTATATATAGTTAGAGTTGGAGAATACGATGAGACTTTAATTGATAAATACGAAGACGATTTTGAAATCAAATATGTTAAAATTCATGAAAACTTCGAATCCGGTGCTGTAAATATTAATTGATTTAATTATTAAATTAAAATGAAAATGATCTTATAATTATACGGTTATTCCGATATTTAGGTGGTTATTTAGATAACGATATTGCGATGGTCAGAATCAAAGAAAAAATTGGCCACGGAATCACATTTAGCCCCTACGTAAGACCCATTTGTTTGCCTAGTTTAAATGCATCTTACGCTGCAGGTACGGTGTGTACCATATCCGGCTGGGGTAAAAATGAATTTACACGTGGTAAATATAATACATTTTCAAATAGTATTTTATAATACAATGTAATTACTTATTCATTCGAAATATTCCATGTTTCGTTCATAAAATAAGGATATTTTAAATAGAAATTATGATTTTTTAAATAGTTTTATGATATAATCTGTAACATTACTAGTTTTAATTAAACAATATTATTTAGTATCATTTGTGTATTTAACTTACATGAAATCGGTCAACCTTTTTCTTACAAAAGTTATTAGAAATTTATTTTATATAATATTATTAAGAAGTATTTACTTTTACAACTAGGCTCGCTCTGCAGTATATGTATAGTATTAAATCGCGATTTATGATCTATTAAACATTACGCGACACTATGGAATTTTTAGATTTTCATTGGGAATGTGTATATATTTTATAAAGATTATAAAATTCCTGTTTTTATATATACAGTAACTACCACATCTACTTCATTAATTTGTAAAAATAACGACGTNAGAAACATTTTACGTAATCCAGCAACTTTCCCGGCAACATTTGTAATGAAGGTAGTCATATGTAAAGGAATTCAAACAAATGGCGATGCAAGTTGATAAAATATATTTAAAAGAATGTTTTAATCATTGGAAGTTCAAACTATTATACTATTATACACACGAATATGAATTAATTATTTTAGGTAATTTTTATTCGAATATTTATTCAGAGATGCGTAATTAAAAAACTTGTATAAAAATAATTCAGAAACAATAACTGCTCCAGCGTAAAAATATATATAGGCCTAATTATCGCTTTGAAAGTGTCAAAGTCCGGAAAAATCAAATTTTAAGCATATAATTTTGTGTTTGACTTTCCCGGTTGTTATCTATACCTGCTATGTTCAATACGCCTTTTAAAACAGTAATGATCTCGTGTAGATTTTTATTACAGTGAAATATCACAGTCATAGTTAAATACATTAATACGATGTATAACACTTTATGTACGAATACAACCTTAAAATATATGAATAAAATGACCAGAACGTTCCCGAATTATATGACGGACGGTGGCTTTTGGATTTACGTTTCCTTACAAATATCACAATGAAATTAAGCAAACGTAATAAGCAGCTTAAAGGTGAAAACGAATCGACCACAGACCGTTATCAAAATATAAAAGCATTCGTAGCAAAACCCAAACTTCATAAAAGTCAGTTAGAATCAAAAACTACGATCCACCTTCCAAAAATTACATAAATTTAATAGTGACAAAAAACATTTTTCTAAATATGAACAAGAAATTACTCATTTACTCTTAGTAAAAGAGAATTTCAAGAGAGATTTTCATATTTAAAAATTTATGAGAATATATTTTAATATTTTCTCACGTCCATTTGACATTGTTGCGGAAAAAGCTCCAGAAAATTTGCGGATAGATTTAATTAATAGATCTCCAGTCATCTTCCGAATGGAAATACAGGTAACCTCCGTATAACGCGGCACTTCTATAGCACGGGTTCACTCTAACACGGTTCGGGAATTGGGTAAAACCCTCGTACAACACGAAATGTAATAAAGGGTGCGTTTTTTATACCTCCCCGTAACTCCGCGCGAGCATTCTAATTGTTTTAGTGGCTACTTCGAACGCTCTTTCAACAAATAAACCATTTAATGGTTAAATTTTACAATTGGGACCCTTCTTTTGCCTCTAAAAGCTCATTTTAGAATTATAGATTCTTCCATCACGATACTATCGATAGTGCGGGCGCCGCCATCTTTTTTCGCCGTCATTCATAAATGCCTACAAACAGCGGCGNATACCGTAATCACGACTCCCATTATCTCTCCATCCCCTCGACGATTGATAATTAATATTAATTAATATGAACCGCACAGACATCAATTCTCACGTTGATACTCTATTTGAACTTATAGAAAAATAGAGTAGTTCTATTTTCATTGTACTGTACATAATATAAAATAGGTTATCGCTTATTCTCACCAGAAAAATTCTATTCCTTTTTTAAGTTATTTCTAATTTAAATACTATAATTTAATTCAACGTATTAACTGAGCTTATAAAAATACTAATAAATAATTTCTATCTAAACAATGGCAGTCCCAAAACGCAAAAGAAACATTCCAAACAATTTCTGTAAATTCTACACGATTTTATTTGATATTAAAATAGAAAAAAGATTGTAATTAGACTGCACCATTACTGATCTAACGTTAATAAACAGCGCAATAAAACACGAACCTCACTACACACTTTAATTGTAACTGTCATTTAATATAGCACCGATAAAACGGTGCTATGTTTATCTATTCCCATCTATGCATCTGTTACATAAATGGGTAAATATTAATATTATATTTAAGAATATAAATAGAAAATATTTATATAATTTTGAAAGAAAACTCTATATTTTTAAAAAGAAATTTGTTTTTGAAGGAAGACTATTCTTGTAATTATAATGGACAAATAGACGTTAGTGACATAAATGTGCGTAAGCGTGTATAGTAGTTAACCTTCACGTAACATAGCGAGTCGACTCGACAGTAAAATATCTCGTTTGGAATCAGAATGCTCTACATTCAATCCACAGATGTTGGAACTAGTTTTATTTACGATGGCGTGAGAATGTTTTTTAATTATGAAAATTCGTATCGACTTACCCAAGGCGAGCACGTTGTTAATGAAGGTGACAGTTAAACTGAGATTAAGATTTCCGTTGAGTAAAACCGTCCAGATATTGCTGGCCCCTCCACTGGGACTGCAACCGAAAGTAAACAATCCTAACCGCATTACCGGATCGTTAAACAACAAATGGCCAACTCCGTAGGCAATCTGAAAGTAAATTTTATTAATTTAATTAATAATTTTAGTTTATTCGACAGAAAAATGCCTTAATTTTATACTGAATTCTGCAGTCTTACCTAACTTACACAGTATATAATAAACCTACAATATTAAGGTAACAAATAGGAATATGGCCCTGTTAAGTTTTGTAGAATTTTCACGGCGTCATTTTATGGAATTTTCATAAACTTTGTGGGACAATGGTTTTTCTTATAAGGAAAAGAAAATCAAACATTTCGTTCGTTTGGAATAATAATAAAAAGAGTAGCTTCGTGTCATATTAAAAGCGTATGAAGTTAATATGGCCACCACTCTTAAAATAAAAAACTTTCAACCATTAATCAATGAGAAATGTAGTTTTAAAGTCAATAGAAATGAAATAACTGGATATTAAATACAAATTTTATAAATAATGCGGCTGGATGTGTATATTACAATTTATCAAGTTTTTTCATTCATACAATTAATTTTCATCGCAATATTTATTTATTTTTTTGAAAATAATAAATCAAATTGTTTTAAGAAACAAATAATAATTTTTACAAATGAAAATAAATAAAAGGATATTTTATTCCATTTACATTACTTTAAGCGTTTTAGACAAATGAACAAGTTTAATTTCTTCAATACAATCAACTGCAGCTATTATGACCAGGGGTGGACATATAAACAACCGGAATAATTTTTCAAAAAGTCTTTAAAAGTAAACTAAGTTTCGATAGATATAGGCTACTGGAATCGCCGTAGAAAACTCCATTTCGAGCCATCAAACAATTGAAATTCGGTTAATAAGACACGAGAACAAATGTTATCTCTTCCCAGTGAAATAAGAAGCGCATTCTTCGAGCAACGTAATTTCCAGAAAATGGCGCCACTCTTTGCTCTTTTCGTCAACGGCGATTGTCCCACCTCCGTGGGCACACACCCCGCTTTTGCTTTCCATAAGAACTACACTCAGCCCTGCCAAACGAACATTTGGCCATATTAGAACATAAAATGTTTTAAATAAATAGGTTACGCAGTGTTCAAAATACAGCAATATTTCAAATATTTTGTCTCGTTAATAATAATAAAAAACATTCGAGTGATAATATTTCACCAAATAGAAGGAAAAGCTATATTATTACCACACGCCAAAAATTACATCGTAGCGGTTACAAAACACAGCGATGTTTTGTAGCCTAATTGTTGGAAAGTCATTGTTTGAAATGTAGATTTTTTCGCTTCAATTTATGAATAATTATATTTAACAATTCCAAGCAATCTTTTAAATGCAGAATTACTCGAGTGTAAAAGTTACTGACACAATGAACTTGTCGAGTACCGTTAATTGATTTCGTTTATTAATAATTTAATCACCGGTACAAGTTTTTATGAATCGGATGATTTGCAAAATTCTTATCGGTTTTATTATAATTTCGCTTAATTAAAATGCGTACGCGCGATCGTAATTATCAATAAATAACTTCCAAAGAGTAAATCCTAATAAATCACGCGCCTACTCATAAACATCCGGACAAAATCCGTCAACGAGTTGCTTAACTTTCCCGGCAACATTTAAAATTTTGATGGCACCATCCGCTATGATATTTTATTAAAAAAAAAATTTTATTTTTTATTTTTTAACTATTATAAAATGGCAAAAAGCTTAATTTTGAGGGTAAAGACGGGTTTTATAACAAATTGTAAATGCTAATAACGAGTAAACTCGTCATTAAGTCCGACCATACTAAAGTCACCGTAATCACGACTCCCATTATCTCTCCATCCCCTCGACGTTTAACCACCAAAGTTTAAAAGGATCAATCCGTTTAATACACGAACATCCCTGCAAAATTTCCGAAATTTTCGACAAAAAGCGCAGGAGTTTTAAGCTTCAAACAGGGTAAACAAAATCGTGACCTCACACACATACGTAAAAAAACCGAACTTTTTTGGCATTTCTCGACGTTTCGAGATCTCCCGAATAGATAAATGTAAAAATCTGGGGAGGGTCATTTTTTGACCCACGGCCATACTTTTTTACATATAACAGCCAAGAATGTAAAAATGGGTTTCTAGTACCACGGAGACCAAAATATTTTTTTGTATCGATGAGCACATTGTTTATATGGCAACATTTATATCATTAACAATATTAACCGTTCATATAGTGTACGAAAATTTAATTACGGCGTAGACCCTTTTAGTCACACGTAACTAACAATATCGATCATCAACCTGGCAACTTTACCGGTGTTTAAAGTTTACGCATCCGCTCTTAAATCTACATTTATAACGAGTGCAACGACCCGAAAAACTATTTGTCTTCTTGTTGTCACGTTAGTTTTAAAAATACCCCCGTTTCAACACGCTTCCGTTCGAGTTCTAAAATTAAAGCACTTACCAATGGCATTATTAGATATTGACACAAGAATCCAACAATAGGGCCGAACGGCTTCAGCAAGACGTTTTTTACAACGGTCAGATCGACCGCACAACCCATATTGACGTAGCTGAGAGTTACGATAATAGCCACAGAAATTATGAAGGCTTTTGTTACCGCCCTCTCCTTTTTTAATACGGTTACGGGTAACGTCTGGCAGTTATTGTTCCATTTCGAGTGCAGACACGCTCGAACTTTGGTGCGACCGAGAAATTTACCTTCTACGGTAAGATTTCCGTACAGTTGCTCGTAATTCACCACACTGTCTGTTATATCCGCAATATCTGCGTCGTCTACCTTTAACTCGAGCTTCGCTCCTTCCCACGTTTCGTCCGACGAATTAAAATTAACCCATTCTTTCTGTTCTTCTATAATCTTCACACTCGATGGGTGAAACGTCAGGTTGAAAGCGGTCGTTAGTTTAAGAAGTAAGAAGAAACACGCAACACTCGTAGACATAACGATTTTCCGCGATAGCTTCTACTCGTGTCGAGAAATCGCTCATACGGGTTTCTTGTCACGTGTCTTCCTTTCTGCACGTCACCGACCGGTCTGTAAACAAACTTAGATGGCCTTGCGCCTTTTTCTCACCTGTCGATAGGGAAGAACTGGGGATTTTTTCGAGCTCGGTAGCTGTTCCCAAACCTTTGCTACTCTGGTTCCTAGTCTACGAATTTGTTAAGTTCATAATTCAAAAGTTGTGTAAGGTGCGAGGATGTAGACTTATTTATCTCGCGGAATTTATCTGTATCGAGTTTTACGCAGTTACGCTTTATAAAACTTATTATAGATTTGTAAAACAGAAAATTTTATTTAATTTTCACAATACACAGGAGTATTACGAAACATTTCGTAACACATGTGTATTACGAAACATTTCATACAGATGTACTGATGTACTAATTGCGAGGAAATATTTTAAGTTTTCTTTGTATTTTTTCCTTTATATATATATATATATATAAAGGAAAAAATACAAATTGAAAGGTTGGGCTTGTATTGGAGCGTCACTTCTCAACAAGTAGATCTCGATACCAAAGTTGTTTCCCAACACTTTTTTAATTTTCTACTTATTTAAAAAGTTGCAATTGAATATATAACTAGAAAAAAAAATGCAATTGTTTTCTTATCATTTAGTTAAAACGAATCGCTATCGCCCGATAAATCGCGATAAAAGTCGGTTATTAGGAAATTTTAGTAAGTTTAACATGTCAATCCCGTCCGTCCTCTTCGTTTTTACGTGTATTTTGAGTGTTTCTATACAATTAGCCGACTCGACGACTTTAAACGTAACTTTCGATACTCCAAAAGTGATCGAGATGTGGATAAACAACGAACGTGTGGTGAATTTCAGTCTGTTTCAGACGTCGAACGACGATCGCGTCGTCGAAATACGAATAAAGTCGTCGGTCCCCGAAGTCGTACAGATCACACCTCAACAGTTATTGTGTACGGAAGGATGGGAAACAGTTTACAACGGTTCTTTTGTCATTCGTGCCAAAAGCGTGGCTCGTACGGAGGTGACAGTCGTTGGCATCACCAAAAACTCCGCACTGTTAGAGAGCGAAAGCCTGATTGTACGCGTGGCGAGAAACACTCAATGGATCACTTATTGGTTCGACATTTCCGTAGCCGTTATGGTTTCTCTCAGTTACGTTCACATGGGTTTAACCATAAGCACGAAAACCATTGGGAATATTTTGAAGAGACCCGTCGCTCCCGTCGTTGGATTTCTTTGCCAATTTTTAATCATGCCGGTGGTAAGTATACCGACCGTCTTCGACGAATACGTAACACTTAAAAACGATTTTATAACTGTAGACTTTGATTCGAACAATTAAATCTTTTCTTTGATTATTTCTTAGATACCAATTATAGATAAAAGTTTAATCGGTAACGTATCTTATTTTCTTTTATGTAACTGTAGACAGCCTATCTGGCGGGACAATGGTTATTCGATAACGACGTGCTACGCATCGGACTTTTTATATACGGATGCTGTCCGGGGGGCGGAACCATCTGGACGATAATTCTCAAGGGTAACTACAATCTGAGCATCACCGTTTCCTTCCTTAACAGCGTAGCGGCTCTGGGTAAGCAGTTTGTCCACACACGCGCAGGATGAATCGCAAGTAAATCCTACTAAATACGAGCTATCCGAAAAGATGTACTCGTAACACCTATATGCGCGTGATAAGCATAAAAATTCACGTAACACATCTAATATTAAGTTAAACACAGGATGTCCCAAAAGGCTCCATACAGTGACACAAATCAAGCCCACCAGTGGCCGAATAAATAAAACCATTGTTAGTTGGTCATTGGTTCGTGTCTGACCGACGGGCTGGCCACCATGGGTTTTCTTCGCGTGTCTAACACCTAAACAGATCCAGTTTTCATATGGGAAGTTCTGCTAGAAGTTACCCCATTGGCAGATCACTCATGTGTTCCGTTGCCTTACTCCGTCAATCCACCGACACAAATCCTAATGCTGACATTTTAACCTTTGTAAACTCTCTCACGCGGCATAGTGACTAGTTAGATCGCCGTTATAGACAGATTTGTGTGTTATCCGCATCTAAGCAATAATCAGTAACTTCTTTATGCATCCTCCTGTAAATTAGCTTTAGTTATATAATAAACCTTTATTATTTGTAAAACCTGTCTCCTGTCTCACCGAGGAAACCCCGTCGACTTACCGACGCACTCCCCACTCGTTTTGCCCTCCTAGCCATCCAAAGACTCCGAGATCGGGCTTTACCAGCCCGTGCAGATTAAATGGTCAGTACGACATTAACCCCTGACTCCTTGCTTATCTCACACAAGGAAACTTTTGGGACACCCTGTAGTACCCACCTAGTTAATATTGAGCGCTTTTATTCCTTTGCCTCCGTACGGAGACTCGAATCACCCTGCACGCGTATATGCGCCTAATATTTACTACATTCCATTAATGTCTATCTTTATGAATATACGAATTTGAATGTGGGCCTACCGTATTTACAAACGCATCGGTAGGCTACTTTTCAAATTCGGGAAGATCTTAATGATTTGTTTTTTTTTTTCTCAGGTCTCATTCCGATGTGGATGTTGACTCTAGGCAAAAAATTATTCAAAAACACGTGGAAAATTCCCATAAAAAATTTAGTAGTTAGCCTAGTTTCCATGATAGTTCCGGTGGCAATAGGCCTGGTCGTACAATACCTGTTCCCGAAATTACAGAGAACAGCCATACGGCTGCTCTTGCCGCTGACGCTAATCATGACAATTTATTTGTGTCTTCTGGGTCTGTTCGCTTATTTGGACATTTTCAAGATGATCACGTGGCAAATCGCCTCGGCTTCGCTGTTAAACGTCTGTCTGGGATTCCTCATAGCCATAATAGTGTCCAAGTTAATGGCTTTTTCCACAGAAGACACCATTGCCGTAGCCGTAGATACCGGGGTACAGCACGCGGGTATAGCGCTGGTGCTGATATCGTTTTCGTTTCCTTCTTTCGCCGATGCCAATTTGGCTAAAGTGGTGCCCATAACGGCCTACGCTCTCACTCCTTGCCCCTTGTTTCTGGCCTTTATAACGCAAAGAATCTACGGAGCTTTTTTCAAGACAACCGACGACAAAATGGCCGACTCTCCCGACGAAAAAACTCAAATCGATCCGAATTACTCCCAAAATGCAAACTATTCGACGTTTAGAGCTTAAGATATTTACTAATTAACTTCGCCGTTTGATATTTAAGAGAGTTTAATTTAATTAATAAGAAACTTTACGTATTTAAACTATTTATTTTGTTAGTATATTTTTATTACTGCGTATCGATCTCGTTTATTAACAATTATTGTACTTTTAACGAAAATTTAACCTTTAAACAATGGTCTTTTTGAGTAGTTTTTCTCTTCTTGGAATCCGAGTTTCATCACTTTCTTTTAAATAATTCGATAACGACGACGACACGATTTATTATTGTTGAACGGTGGTCAAATATTTGACTACGAAGAGAATGTAGAAGAGTATTTCTATGGAAATTCTTCCGGCCAGGCACTAGCAAAGGCAACTGCAAGCTAATTCTCCGGCCGATCTTTTCATCACCCGAGAACCTGAAATTATAAATGAATTTACCACACAAAACTACATTAGAACTACATTATAGAAACAACACTGGAAGAGTCCGTATTAATGAATTTTATGTACAACTAGAAGAAATCATCCAATTATTCAAAAAATAAACGAAATTTGTGTTTAAAATACGAACTTACCGACGGGTTTCTTAGTCTTGGATTTTTTATTTTCTCCAAAGCACGAAAAGATCATTTTCTCACCGGCGATGTGAATCAAATGAGGATCGGTGGAAAAATTACCAAATGGTGTTATTACCTGAAAGTTTAAATTTTTTTCCGTTATTTGATATTTTCACGAATTTCTTCTAAACATTTAAAGAAAATTTGCTTCATTTTTTTTACCAAATTTCTCGAAACAATTCTTAACACGGCTCTGTCTTACGAAACTTCCAGTACCGAATTCCAACAAAAAATCTAAATAAGAGCGCATCTTCCCCCATAATTTAATTACTTTGTTCGTCTGTATAAGGTCATTTGCACTCGTCGAGACCCTTGGATATTAAATATAAAATTGGTCGTAAGAATTTTTTTGTCACATTTACCAAAAAACTCCAAATCCTTCGACTAATTATCATCCAAGTACGAAAAATACTCGATTTAAATGAGATTTCTGGTAAAATATTTATTCAATTTAGGATATTCTGTAACGTAAACATTAGGCAATAAGGAAAAGAATTACTTTTGTTGTTCAAATCGTTTCCTTCAGTACGAAACTGTACTGCGAAACGCAATAAAATTGTTTTGCTCCCTACATTTTGGTTTAATTTTTGTTTGTCGTTGTTACACGCAGTTTTACGCTTTAATTTTTTCCATTGGAAAACTTCCATACGACGATTATTACTATTACGTAACAAACTAAAGTGTCCGCTTACCATTTTGGGTCGAGGGACGATGATGTGAGTGGCTTTCTTGGTTTCTACCAAACAATTCACTTGAGACATTTTATTTTTCTTCATCATGCGCTGCATTAAAACGGTTCCGAAATTAGTTAATTAATCCAAAAATCCGATATATAAATCAATGATGATTATTATAAAATAACAAATCGCTTATATTAAAAGAGCATTTAAAAAAAAAGTGAATCTTAAGCATGGAGTAGAAATATTGACATTTGACCCATTAAAAACTTTTTTTAACTGGGGAAAAATTCATTTCCTTTCGATATATTTAGTGTAAAAACTTAGTAAAAGAGGACATAAATAAATCTTGTATCTCCTACTTTTATAAGACAAAATGTTACGGAGAAAAAATCAAGAAACCGCTAAATGAAGTTGCTCTAAATTATAGATTTTTCTAGGACACGTCTCGAGAAAAAACCGACTTCCTCGTTTTGTTCTCCCCTTTTTAATCGCGCAAATTTATTTGGTAATTGTGGGCGGATACTAGAACCAGTCGAATGGCACGCAAATGACAAATAACCAAACGAGTTCATTAATTCCCCTCGTTACTACGCGATTCGTTGTTGACAGAAGAAAAATATCGCCATTAAATCGAAAACATTCGAATGTTATAAGCTTCCTTATTGTACGTTTAAAAATCTAGACGAAAAAATTTACGCGGTAACCCCTATTTTTTACGACACAGTCGTAAAAAATGGGGGTTACCGCGTACAAAAAACCCGTCATTTTATTGCTCGTTCGTGTACGGTGTTATCCATTCCAAACTTCCATTTTCAGAAACGTAGACTCAATTTATAGCATTGAGCTTATAAAAAATCGGGCGACTCGCTTTACGACGGATTTTCCAACAATCTATTGGGCCAAATCGCGCGTAAGTCGTAGGGTCGTAGGTAGGCGGGCCACAAATATTTTGTATAGGCTACTTTACGTACGATAGAAATAGGCCTAATTTTCGTTTAAGTCGTGTGTCAGATATATTCGGGGGTAGAATTTGGCCCGGGACAGAATTTTGGGCACCACTAAATTGAGCCGTACATGTGGGAATCTGCTGTATTCTAAAGGCGATTACGCTAAAAATTGAGCAAAATTATGAAAGATGTGGAAAATGTTTTTTTTCAAATTGGATGAAAAAAATAGACGAAAACTGCGAAAAATAAGGCATGTTTCGCTTACACGTGCATAAATTTATACGAAAATCAACACACAAAACTTACATTAGCTTTACCGTCTAACATCAATTTAAGTGGAATCTTTTTGGAAGAGACTTGGTCCAAGTCTTGACGATCGTCTCTAGGAGCTTGACGTGGCAATGCTTGATAATCATCTATGACCCGTCTCTCAACACTTTCCTACGTAAATTCATATAATCCATTACACGTTTATCTACAAACTAACAATGATCGTCATCTAGAAAATATCTTATTCTATAAATTAGTAACTAATGCACACTATACGGTAGAAACTGACATTATAGAGATTAATTTCTAGACGTTATCAGCGCCTACATAAACGTTATTCTAGAGTTAATCGAACTAGAAACTAATATCCTCGATATAAGTATATAAATGAAGGTTCGGACATTAGTGTTTTATTCTACAGGTTAACTATAATTTAGAGTTGATGTACTCTAGACTAAAAGTTAATTAACGTCTTTTACACGAAATTCATTCTATTAATTATAGAACTAGCGATTTATGTCGTAAAATCCCGCATAAAAGTTGAAAATAACGACGATAGGACGTGGCCGACGACAGCAGCAACCGAAATCGCCGTATCCAGGTCAAAGTTGGAATTTTCCACGACCGAAATCTAGGCTAACTGCAACGATGTCGAATGCATCGTCGCCATTCCGATAATAGGAAAAATAGGGATTCCCACCGACAAGTAATGATGTTGCTAGGGTCATTACTCCTTAAAGAAACGGGAGAAACTCCATAAATCTGAAAAAATAAACACTAAAATTCCCGACTGGTAGATGATCGTATTAGTAATTATACTTACGTTAACGGGGCAACTACATTTTGTATTTGTTTGAAGATACAATGCGAGAAGGACGATGATCCCGACGATGATGCTGACGAAGATGAGGGTGGTGGATAGAATTCGGGCGATCTTTATGGAATTCGAATAGGGTTTCTGATAGGCCTTCGAAAAACATCGAATAATTATTATCGTCGAAATGTACAAATGTAATTTATGATTTTAAAAAGTGTGTCTGTATGTCTAGTCGTCCAGTTTAAACCGTTTTGAAGCTAAAACGGTGAAGAACGTTCAACATAAAGGCACTCTCTAATTGCTTCTACAACAAACAGAGAAAAAAAAGATATATATTTATGCATCTATACTACCCCCAAAGGCCAAAATTTTACGCAATTTATTGACGTTTAATACATTTTAAATAATATCGAAAATTTGAATGTAATTTTAAAAATTCCTCGGGTCGGCATCATCGATAATTTCGGTTAATGTCTTCGAATTTCATTTAAAATAGTTCTTTATCGACGTCATTAAATGAATTTGTGCTCGTTTTGTCAAACATTAACATATTTAACAGATGAACGAAAGGCATCCATAATGGAAGAAGGAATCATTTAATGTGTTCGTCTTTATTCGTGTTCGTCCGTGCGAGATAAAAGCTAAAAGTATTTCACAAAATTCTCGTCACGCTTCTTTATTCCTTAATGTATTTCCTATAATTTAATACGAGCCAAAGGAGATGATTTTTTCCATTATAAACCATTGGATTTTTTACGAAATTGGAAATTTGTAATTACAATTGAAGACAATGTGTCGTTTTACTGTCATCTATGATTTTCCAATGCTACACTATGTACAACTTCATTGTGAGCTTTACGTTAAAATAATAGAACACGTATCACTTCCCCACCATCTATAATTTTCCAATAAAAGAACAATGTACCGTGCACGAATTTCGTATCGGTGACCTAATTTTCATTTCCTCCTTATCCTTATCGAAGGATATCGCGTGTATTAATTTAATCTGTCTTTTACCTATAAAAATACTTTCTTCTCTTAATCCCATTCAACATCCCTCCACAAATCCAAACTTGTAATTGGAAACGGAACAAGAAACAATTACATAGGAACGTACTCAGACTGTAGAATCGTAATAAGTATCCTATATTATTTTCGTGTTATTAACAATGTAAGGCTCGTTACACCGTTTTCTTCTATATAAATTAATTTCTTNCTGCATGTCAACACCACCTATTGATGATTTTTGGAACTAATTTTTCCCTATTGTAAAGAAATGATTCTAAAAATTTTTTTATGCAACATATCCAGTTGTGGAACTTTTACTCGAATTGCATAGCTATAGGCAAGTAAATAGCTTAGAAGAAAATGAAGACGGCAAGAATATTTTTATTTGTATAAGTCTGCATTATTTGCATATTTTAGAATATGTCTTAAAAATAATTTTTCTATCGAAACAAGCCCACATGCTGACAACATTTCCCACATAAACTGCATTTCATTCCAATGATTCTTGAAATTTTTTAATGAATGTTTATAGTTTTTACAGACTTTTTGCCTACCCTGTATAAAATATGCATGGTAAACTTCTACATTCAAAGAATACTGGGATGAAATCAACATGTACCTTGAACCTCTTACCGGTGTGGGTGATGTGACAGATAAATATCATAAACTTTTTTGAACATTAATAGTTCTTCCTCAGGCAATACAAAAAAGAAACGAC